ATATATATATATATATATATATATATATATATATATATACATTATATATATGTATGTATATTTAAAATTCTCTAAAATTTACTTTAAAAATGATAATTTACCACACCAGAATACAATGTATACAATTCAGGAGCTAGACTTAGTGAATAAGATTAAAAATGACGAAGAAATTTAAATTAATTGGCAGATTGACCCGAATTTCAGAAGGGAAAGTATCCAAAAATCATGGAAAAATATTAAATAAATGTAAAAATCTGTACTATAATAAGAGAAAAATAATAATAATAATAATAATAATAATAATAATAATAATATACATAAAGAAAATGACTACAAATACTACTACCACTACTAGCACTACCACTGCTATTACTGGCCAATAAGAAACTGGAAATTGTAAACGCGTACGTGTGATTGGTTGATGATAGAAACGCGCTCACTTGCTAACCGATAGCGCTTGCTTAACCGAGCGGTATCCGGATACCGCTAACGGTTAGCGCTAACCGATCGGGCGTTCTCACGCAGGTGCTAACGGTTAGCGCTAACAGTTCGCTTCCGATTCGGATACAAGGGCTCTCGTGAGAACCAGGCTTACGTGATGGGTGTAATATGACATAATAATACCCATATATGGGCACATCACACAAATTTGTCACAAAATTTGAGTGCCTGATCTTTTGTTTTCACAAATTCAGCCCACTCGAAATAATTATTTTCTGTAGAGAAAGTAAAGAACTGTGTCATTGGGGTCACGACATAAAGTGCTGTGAAAAACATGCTATCAATCATAACATTATTATAGGCCTAATATATTCATTAATTTATGTACATTATACATGTTTTACCATCAATTTGTTAAACAGCACTTTAATTGCACACAATTATACACCCACACACTTCAACACACATAAATAAGTTGATAAGCATCATAACCAAAATGTATACGGTACTGCATGTAGGCTAATAGGTTTATAAATTTATTGTACTTAATAGTAGGTCAAATTTTGAATATAAAGTATTACGATATAGAGGCTGGATCATAATATCGCTATATAATGAATATCGCAACCTATTTTAAAATCAATTATATTAATGAACATAGGTGGTTGATGGAGAATGGGTGGGGTGGGCGTGCTGCCTGTAGTTATTAGCATAATTAGCATACTTTTATTTTTTTTTAAAGTCCAGTCGAACAAATCCAATGATCGAAATCAGGAGGCGATATGCTTGGATTCCGTCAAGAGTTCGACCTTCTCTCCACCCACCCACCCACTTCGAGGTTTCTTGCATTTAGCGCGCTATATAGGCTAATGATAGTCTTAACGTATTAAAAAAAAACCCATCTCTAATCGAATTGATGTTCGTTTAAATCAAGTATTGCCATGGAGACCTGATGGAGATCAGACGCGTTTGTTATAACCATCAACTTTAATACTTGTTCATTTCATCAATAATGTAAAGCTACAGAAACCAGGCCTATTACGTTAATTGAAAGTATGAGAAATGATATATCCAAAACGTAGGTTAATCTAACATAAATGAATTTGTTCAAATCGAATTTGTCACAATACAAGCATAATCAAAACGATGTATGCATGTAACATATATAAATTACATTAGACCTAGATGTATAGCAGTTTCTTTAGTGAAGGTAAAGGTAGGAGAATAACCGTCTCGCAGCTTCATTGTACTGAACTGCGTATGGGCGTGGTCCATGACTACCTAGCGGTCGTAAAAAGGCGCGGTTATCATAGTAGCTACATGTTCACATCATTACACAACGATAGGGACTGAAATGAACATAGCATCGGGGTAAACTCGCTACTCTTCCGAAAGATGCAACGGGTTCCTTAAAGTGCACACGATCTGTACACTGGAACTCCATTAAGTCCTTTTCCGAGGAGAATTGGTTCTCTACCAACCGAACTATGGGCGAGGAGTGGCTGGAACCAGCGCCGATGTTAAGGCTAGTTAGCGGCGCTTCTGTGAGGAAAACAATTAAAAATGAAAACAGACGAGTATATTTACACAAACGTGTTTATCAATTGCTTAAAATGGATATTTTAAACTATTAATTAAGCTTTAAAAAATGTTACTGTGATACAGCATTTATTACTATTATTATTTCGACGAACTAAAATAACCTTAATTCTGACTACACATATAAATTCATAAATTATTAATACCTCAAATACAAAAACTACTGACACTATTTCTTTAATGTGAAGTTCCACTTCCCCGATCAAGAATTTTGAATAAAAAATTGAAAAGGACATTTTAAAGACAAATATAGGCCTTTCTTGTTTAATAAATTTATTTACCATTTTACGTTTTTGAAATTATATATATTTTATAAGAGTGATGTTTTTGCCCTACCTGACGTGTTTTCTGTCTTCTTTTATCGATTCACCTGTAACGTGAGCTACTGTCCAAGAGAAATACCATACGTCCGCTCCGACAACTTCACATATTTATGCAGCAAATGGGTTGCATTATGATGTTTGACATTCCAGAACTAAAGAATAATTGACTCATAATGGATTTTGTTTCAACTACCGTTCTGAGAATGTACTGTATTTCGCGTATTGTTGCCTCTTAGGGCTAAGAGTTATTGATCTAAGTTTAAGTGAAACATGATCGGCAAAGGAGAGAAAACACACTGTCCTATGAATCGGCGGATTGATTGAGTGATGGACTGACACGCATCCACATAATCAAAGAACTCTGCAGGTAAATTAAGGATGATGAAGGGAGTTAAAACAAAACGTAAGAATCGAGTGCGGAGTCGCAAACTAAGCCTAAATACCGTCTCATTCCAATTAAAACCACTTTCGCGACCAGGGTTTTAATGGTTTTTAGCAGCTTTTGAAATTTGTTAATTTGGGACCACAAAAAAGTGGTCCTTAATTAATTGGAGGTAGTCTTTAATTGGGGGTCTATAATTAGCAGGAGACCTGCCTAAACTTTTGGTGTTTTTTTAACACAGTTGGGTGTTGTTGAAATAAATAAATAAATAAATAGATAAATGAATAAATATTACCACGTTCAACAGGCAAAGGAAACAAAAAAATGATCATTGGATATTCTTCTATTGAGGGTTATGACGTTCATCCATGATTGACTGACAGAGTAAAATTGGAATTTCAATCTCATATTTGATTTCTGAAAAACTACATAGGGTACTGTAGTGACAAGTAAAATGGCAGACTAATATATGAGTTGAAATACCTATGATTTACACCATATTTTTCCATACAATTCTTTAACTCATTACCAACCAATTTAAGGGGTTTATGCATTAGAATACAGGAATGGAAATATTGAAGAAGACATTCTTTTCTAATTCCAATTTTTATTTAAAACCGAATAACTTTATTTAGACAATCTATAAATATAATATAGTTCATAACAATGTTTACGGAAATTTGTTGGTCGCAAAAATATAAAAAGTAGAAATTTAAAGATATAAAATTGTTAAACCAATCATCAGAATTACACATTTTAAAAGTACAGTACAAGAAATAATATGATAAAAAATTAATATTAAAATGTAAATCGTTAATATTAAAACACTTGAAGCACACGTTTGGAAGGGAATAACAAAACTCATACCCAAATGACTATGGTCGGTCACTGACAAAAATCGGAGTAAACCACATTTATGAGCAACATATACAGTACAGTACCGGTAGACAAGTTGGTAGTGAAAAACAAAAGATGGGATTTAAAAAAACGTGAGTAATAACAAATTCGGTGGGCCTAATAATAATAATTATAAATAATTTAGCATATAAATTGTATAATTACAGCAATAAACAAGCCCTTCATAATTCGTTGTAATCAATTAATTAAATTCAACACAGGTTTGATACCTGGTTGCCATTGCATAACATTTTATGTAACCAAACCAATGAATGCGTAATATAAATGTAGCATTTAACCAATCGGCTATAAATGTTATCTACACTGTATATTGTATATATAATTGTGCATCAAATACTCAGCTAGCTTTGTTTGACAACTACCTTGTCTTGTTTAGACTTGCATGTATTTTTCCATATCCAAAAGTTAAAAAAAAAACTATGTAAATACGAACAAAACAAGAATTTTTATGTTAGTTTGTAAATCAGTAAAGAAAATAAAAAATGCAAAATATTAAAAGACATTTGGTAATTAACTAAGTGAGGAAAATATTTTTCAATTATTATATTTAGCTGGTGGCCTTTCAATTTTGTTATTCTTTTTTGGATAGGCATATCTAACACCTGTATATACCGACTTATTTGTGGAAAATATATATTTTTGTTATAAAATATATCTATTAATTTATATATAAAAAGAAATTGCACACAATCAGAAAAGAAGATTTTAAACATAAAAGTACTGTCTATTCTCTAGCTAATATGCAACTGGATTCAGAAGATTTATTAAAGAAAACTATTATCAAATATATTATAAATATCGTGAGACTATTTAAGAAAATAAAAATGTGCTTAAAAATATCAATTATCATATGTACAGTGCTGTACAATACTAAAAAAAAAAAGATGCTTGCAAAACAGAATTTTGGGCTTTTCTCATTGAAATAATAAGAATTTGACGCTACCAAGACTACAGCTTGAGCCACAATGGTAATAATGGGGGATAAAGTGGAAGGTTCTTAGAACTCTACACAAAGTTGTTATAGAACGCATCCTTGTGAAATTTCAGTTTATGTTCCTGAAGATTGTTGATGTATTTTACAGTAATTTTGCATTGAGCTTAGTCATAACTAGTATGCAGCACTTGAGAACATGCAAATTGTGTTAAATTGCATGAACATGAAAGTTTGGACCAGCAGCTGTGGTTCTGCTTCTCAACCTTGAGGTCAGAGGTCAATCCCTTGTTGTGTATTTCGCTTGTGTCCTTAGGCAAGGCAGTTTACCTACGGTTGTCTCTCCACCCAGCTGCAACATTATGGAATTCTCTCCAGGAAGCTGAGTATGTGTTCCATATGATGTTTGATCCAATGACAGGGGGTAATAATGTTAAGCGCATAGAGGTCTCTACAATATGCGCTCTACAAGTCAACCATAGGAAGACGACGATCAGAATGGATTGTAAATGCAAGGAAGATGGTCATCATTTGAAATGCCTATGGCTCCTCGAGGGCTACGGCAAACAGAACTGAAGTCGACCATTATTATTATTTATTAATACGAAAGATATTTGCATGTCCCACAAATCAGTATTTGCAATGCACCTGCAAAACATTGTTTATGTGGAACCATAACAAATTATTACAGGGTGAACCTTAGCAAAACAGGTCCATTATAGATACAATTATAAAGCTCTGTCCAGATTATAAATTTTCTTTGACAAAAAATGTTTTATGACCATATATAGTCATGAAGTGCCTATATATGGTCATGATGTGATGTCATCATGACCATATTTAGGCATGTAACAGACTACTGAATAAAATGATAGTCTGGACAGGGCTTTAAAAGTACTGTTTATCTCCATTTTTATGACACTCATTTTTTGCCTTCTAGACTAATTCAATTTGCTCACAGTCTGAATCCTACTTGAAGTCCTGTATTATATCTTGTTCAGCGCATTCCCTTTATTGGGCCTAGATTGATATCTCTTTGGTGGGTAATCAAGAGCATGTTTAGAATATCTCCCAGGAACATGGTACCAAGATGCCTTATACTTGGGCTCGGGAGTGATGTCCCTCGGGCAAGGGGGGTCACCAAGCAAAGCTTCAACCTGGCTGTGTGGTCCTTGAATGGTCATTGCGTTGCTTGTGTCAATACTAAACTTGCTCGAGATATTACATCTTGACCAATGTGATACATGCGATATCTGACTTACACTGCTATATGGTCTGCCCTTGGTTTCATCACTAAATAAATGTTCTGTCCTTTGACCATTGGGGGTGCTGCAAGATATACATTCTTCGAGATCAAACTCTGGTGTTCCATGCCTCGAATAACCACCATAATCCAACTCCCTTTCCCTAAACTTAGCACTTAATTGTTTACCCTTTCTGGTGTTCTTAGGAATTACAGGTCGCTTTGGTTTTTGGCTCTCAGAATAATTTGAGATAATGTCAGGTGATTTTGAATTAGCACGTCCTTCAATTGTCTTGACAGAATATCTGCAAATGTCAGTATCGTTGAGGGCTTCAAACCTTGATGGAGACTGGGAAAATGACTCCTCACTACCATGCCATCCACTGGATCGTCCATATTCTCTAAAGTCTCCATTTACGTTATTACTCTGCACTACCTCTTGCTTCTCCTTCTCTTTTAACTGCCGTTCAAACTCTACGAGATCCTGGTCATGCCACGACATATTACTGAATGGCTGACTTCGAGATCTTTTATCCGGTTGTTTAGATGTGGCATCTGTATACTCACCTTGTTGCAACTCCTTCTCAAGACTTTTCAGACTAGAACGAACAGCATTGGTGATCTTGTGGTTGGAACCAAGTGTTGTAGTCCGGATGTCAAGAGATCTCTTGAGTACAATGGCTGCCTCTGTTTTGCATTGGTAAGTTCCAATAGATCTCAACAGCTTTCCTGGATAATTAGATGAAGAGAGAGATGTAGGTCTAGAATTTCATCTAATACAATACCTAAGAACACTTTGGAAAATGTTCACCATTTTCAATAAAATCAATTATCTAAATATAAGACTTTCAAACAATCTGTGTTGCAGGACTTTATCAAACAAAATCAGATTACTGACTGTTCAGCTGTTTTCTTATAAATATTAGATGTTAGTAATATTTTAACGTACATGCATTCATTGCTGATGATCTAATAAAAGATCAAAATATTAAATCACAATGACAAGTCTTACCTTATTTGGAGTTTGCTTTATACTAATCTAAAAAATTATCAGTGGGCCTACTGGTTTTTAACAATTTGGGTACTTCCTTGGTTTTTAGAATTATTCTATTTATTAAGTCATTGTTATATACAAAGCTACGATGCCAGAATAGACTACACGTTAATTTATATACTAACATACACAAAACAAGGATAAAGAAAATTAACAACTTACCAAGATGGAAAAGTGTAGTTGCAACTAGCAGATGGTCCTTAGACAGTGATTTCTCGCGAATGGAGAGTGCTCTCCTGTAGGATGCTTCAGCTTGCAACTTATCAGAGCTAGTAAGAAAATAAAAATCAAATTTGAATTAAATAAAAAAAAGCAGTGGTGTAGATACCAACAATCATCATACTATGAACATCCACATCCTCCTCCTCATCATCATATAACCCAACATTTCCATTCTTATTATCATCAGCATCATTATCCTCATTACCATTCCCCTTCATCTTGATTGTTTCCTGTTATCAATTATTGTTACCACCACCACTAAAACAATCATCTTCACCAACACCACTACCATAAACACCATCATATTCCTTATCCTCATCACCATCATGATATTCATCATCTTTATCATCATCATCAATACCTTCATCAGTATCACCATCATATTCATAATCTTCATTCTCATCCACATCATCATTAACATCATCATCATCATCATTATCATGATTTATCATCATCATTGTGACTAACACCATCCACATAATTACATATTCCAAGCCAGCAACATCACTATCATCACCACTGACAACAGAACAAATGTTTCTCTTACTTCTTATAATGTTCTTTGCACAGGATGCCAGCTAACTCATTAAGAACTTCAGCCACAAGGGGGTGCGACCTGCCGTACCATTTCTCCCTCGTTTTCAGAGCATCTCTAAAACATTTCTCTGCAGACTGATACTTATGTTGTTTTGCCCTGAAAGATACATATATAATAGCCATTAAATTTTACATACAAATATGTAACATATATATGGTTAAGAAATACTGTTTTATATATATATATATATCTTCAATATCATATAATACGACATATATATAATATATATATATAATAATTAAACCGTACATACAAATATATATTTAAACCAACTGGGCCACTGGGACTTTGTTGGAAGTTAAAATGGAATTGGATATCTCATCATTTTTAAGCACTGAATAATGCAATTTTCTATTCAACACATAATACAGTAAACCAAAAGGTCCACTGATTAATCTCAGATATGATAGTATAATACATACTCCAAGTATTGAAATGCACGCCATCGTGCTTGTATTATACTACCTTACATAATACAGACTCAGCATTAATTCTTCATATGACATTAAATTATTTGTAACAGATGATGATGTGTGACATTTAATGTGATAGGTGGCGCTATTCACCTCAGAGTTCCTAAGTTGTAGTAGGCAGTAGATAGACCTATGGTACTGTTTGCATTCTTCATTGATCCAACAGCACCCTTAAGAAGTTTCTCAGCCTCAACCATGTGTCCATCAAATACTTTTTTTCGACCCAGGTGAGTCATCAGTCGACCTTGGTAATCAAATGAAAGGTTGTGTAAAAATATACTTTAACTTATATCTGACTGTAAAATCACATAATCATCATAATAATCATCGTCATCTTCTTTATAATTATCATCATCATTATTATTACCTTCACCAAAGAAGGTTATGTATTCACCGCTGTCTGCTTTCAGCAATATTACGAAAAAAATAATTAATGGATCATCATACAATCTAGTGGAATGTTACATAATATTCAAAGAAAGACACCATTCAAATTTTGAAAGAAAATGTCAAAGGACAAGATCAAGGTCACTTAAATTCAATTGTTTACTCCAAGCATAAAAAGAAGTAATGGACTGGCTCATCATACACAGCCTACGTATTGTTTGCTATTCAGACACAGGACAGAAAATAATGAAATCACTCATCAAACACAGCTTGCGTATTATTCAGGCACAAGGTAGAACTATGCATTCTATTGTGTGACTGCACTAGTTAACATTATTATTATTATTATACACTGTGAATTTCTTGATACCTTTGCATTCTTCAATTTGTCGCTTTTTAGTTCCATGCTCATCTTGTATTTCGTTGACTGTCTCCAGTGCCTTCTGGTAGAATGTTTCAGCATCAGCTGTGTTCAACTGGTACAAGTTCCAATTACCCAAACTTTCCTTAACCCTCACCAAAAGGAACTGCTCTTCAACTGTCAATGGATAGCTCTAAAGTAAAGTAGGATAAAAGAAAATTATTTCTAGTTGCAGTAAAGTGTCTTAGAAATTTGGGCTAAAGGCACCTGGAGCGTGAGCATAGAGGTGGAGGAGGAGGATTAGTTCCTCTAAGTGGGTTAAAATACTAAAAATGACCATTCAGTTTTCATTGGAATAGAGAATTTGTTCTGCATTCTCAATTTTCAGTGCACACACAATGGTTACCACCAGTAACTAACTGAACGATACTACTCTTCTATGTAGAACACAGGTAAAAATCAACTATACTGCAACCTATTATGTACGGTATTAACCACTGTCTGTCTGTTAGCAAGATTACACAAAAACTAAGGAATGGACCACTATAAAATTTAGTAGAATGGTGCATAATATTCAAAGAAAGAGATGATTAAAATTTGGGAAGAAAAGTCAACTAGGTCATATTAATTAAAATTTTTACCCAGAGCACACAAGAAAATAATGGAAAGGCCTATCATACATGGCCTGCGTATTGTTTGGTATCCAGGCACAGGGCGGAAAATAATGGAACGTTAATCATACACGGCCTGTGTATTGTTCGCTATTCAGGTACAGGGCGGAAGCATGCACTCTATGGACTGACTACTCCAGTTACTTGTTTGTTTTTATGTTAATTTTTGATTTTCCATCTATCTATCTATTTATTATCTGTGAGTTAAAATCCTACCTTCAACAGCTGTTCATGAGCAATTGCGAGGAGTTGATATGAAGCTTCAAATTTGTTGCATTCGTTTAGAAAATTCCCAGCATTCATTGCAAGCTTTGCAACCTCTATCTCATGACGAGGTTTCTTATCGTTTTTATCCCTACTTTGTGAACCTAAAAAAAATTAACAATGAAGGTTTATTAAATAAAATCTAAATATGATATTGCGGTTTTTGATCAAATAAAATACAAATGCTTTGCATTATTATTATTATTTTTTTATATGGAAATGCAACATATATTTGGAATTACACAATATTTGAAAATAAAAAAATAATTAGCTAAAATCCTACCTTCTGATTCAGTATCACTGAGACTACTATCTCCCTGTGTCTCACCAATGTTTTCCGCCTGTGTGTCCACCAAATTGTCTTTATCAATTGCATCCAGTTCACTCTTGTTTTCATCACTGTTTAATCCATCAACATCACTATTGTCTGACTCAGATCCTTGAAAAAGATTAATTAAACATCTAGTAAAAAACTTAAAATATCCAGGGGAAGGTCAGACAATTTCAAAATGTCAAATTTTTATTTATTTTTTTTTAATTTTTAAAATTTATTTTTTTTAATTAAAATTTTTATTTTATAAATTGTTTAAACATTTTTATTGTTTATCGGTATTTCAATGATAGAGATTTTAAGTTTTATTTTAATTGATTGTTTTATTATCTAAGTGTAATTGGAATATAGTGCATTAGGAGACCTACTTGATAGTGATTTGGTTCAATTTTAGGAATCCTGTCTTGGCCTGTTTCTGATATTTTATGGTTTTACTGTGTTGTATTTTATTCCGGTTGTTTTTATTTTACAGAGACAAAATAAATGTAATGAAATAAAACAGAAGCCAGCGAGGCAGCTAAGCCTAGTCTAGGGAGAAGTCTAGTGAGGGTCAAGGAAGGGAAGATTATTCCTTTTCCTATACTGCTGCTGTCACTGAGTATGAACATCTTTGATGCATTCTAGCGTATACATACACAATTATTATTATTATTATTAATACTATCATCATCATCATTAAGCTTTAAAACAAATAAAATTGTTTACCATTTAGTTGTATTTCAACGTCGTCTTCTGGGTAAATATTATTCTAAAATAATAGGAAAATGAATAAGCATATATTTATAACTTTCTAAGAAACAATACTGACAAGTTTTGTAACATTTAGTAACATTATAGAAAATAAACAATACAGTTATACTGTATATGAAGAAAAGTAACAACAATCATCCAAGAGTATAAATAAATGCATGATGTGAATGCACTATGTTGAATATGATTGGTCAATGTTGACCATTCATTCATGATAAGGAATACTCTTCGAGAGTAGATGACTTTGCATAATGAAACCCCTTTCAGACAGAAAATACCGCAATAATACCCTAATTACGCCGCCGTTATTGCCGGTGCAGACCCTTTCACACAGCTAGTTAAAACACGGTAATAATACCGTATCCTGTCTGAAAGGGTTCTCGCGGAAAGGAGTATTTGATGTCTGTGTTGCTTGTGCTTGTTAACAAAGAGGGTGCAAGTTTTTGTTTACTCCATTAATCTAATATGGCCGAAGTCCATTATGAAGTCATAAAACTGCTGCTTTGCAAATGTTTTTAATGCTTGCTATATTTGCAATACATATAAATTGAGAAACTTCTAATGAATTTCGTTCAAGGGAGGAAAGAATTTAGGAAGCGCTTAAGGCGAGGCCGGCTTGAATTTCAAGCAGCTAGGTGCAGCCGATTTTCGCGTCTAAAAGAACCGTCAGCTAGCGATTTCATCGGCTTTGTCAGCTGCAGCAGCGGTTGATGGCTGCTCATGTGACTGATTTGTTATGCCTCAGTGTGTAAGACGGCGATGAACCCTGTACCCTTTCACATCGAGTTGGGCAAAACTCGCTATGGTATTAATGCAGTATTAAGACTAGGTCCCGAGGAGGTCTAACTGAAGCCGGCGTTTAGGCGTATTTACCCTTTCACATAGAACGCCGGCGTTTTGCAGGTCTGTCTGAAAGGAGTATAACTGTGATTGTTACTGTTTCCAGTGACTGAAGCACTAACAAGAATTTTAGACTGATGAGAATAATAATGACTATCACAATTCCACCCCCCTGAAATTTAGAAGTAATTGAGCAATATAAAGTCAGTCTAGATTGACTATAGATTGAATTTAAAATAAATATTTCAGATTTTTTTCATTTGGCTAATAATTAGGGGTCCTTTTACATAAAATGAAATAATGTGATACTTTATCAATCTCACTACAAGGTTTAACAAGTGGAGATGTAATAGTCATTAATAAGACTTTTTGATGTAATAAAATAATATTCTCAATGATTTTGGTGTTTTTCTTGTATTTTTTATCTAATTGACATCTTGTGCTGTCACAAGATTTGAACCCAGGACCCTGGGATTGGAATGCAGGCATCTTTAACAAGCTACATCTCCAGTACAAGACACTAGATCTACCTCTTCTTTATCATTCTGCATTGTGGCATGCACCATGTCAGTGTAGATTTCAGCGGGGTTGTAGGGTTCATCCTGATTCCGTAGCACGTTCCAATACTGCATCAACTCTATCTTCATAGCTACCTGGTACTTGCAACCATCCCCATACATAGACGAGAACACTCTGGGGACAACAACAATTAGTTTTCTGTTTGGGGAGCAGGTCTTGTTTCACGAATGCAATCATGAACTTTATTTTTTGCTTGCGCAATCTTTTCATGTTGGCATTTAATAAAGCCAAATCATGGTTTCAACTGTGCATGCACATATCCTTATGTATCCAAGGTCATTCAACATAAACCTATGTTGTGTGTATGGTGTTTATGTTGACATTGACACGAACACGGGCGGTTCAATGAATTGGCTTATTGATTTGTCATTGTTATTAATCATCAAGGATTAACAAAATTTATCATTTCAAATAATTCCTACACTAAAACTTTAAAGATAAACAAAAACAAAAACAAAAATCGCTTTCACCCCAAACAAGGCCCCTGCACATGGATGCCACTTCTGAGCAAATGGGTCAATTATGTAAAAGCCAGGAAATGCTTGCACCTAGGGCTGATAAAGAACATGGACCACTTACAGCCAGTCAACAATGCAAGCTAGGGTATTTGAAGCCCTGTCCAGACTATCAACATGTGACATGCCTAAATATGGTCCTGATGACATCACATCATTACCATATATAAGCACATCATGACTATATATAGGCACATCATGACCATATATAGGCACATCATTACCATATATAAGCACATCATGACTATATATAGGCACATCATGACCATATATAGGCACATCATGACCATATATAAGCACATCATGACTATATATGGGCAAACAACAGTTTTTTGTCAAAAAAAAAAATTGATAGTGTGGACAAAGCTTTAGTATAATCAGCCAACTTGTTAATCTTAAACACTAAAATCCAATTAATTGCTTAGGGTAAGGGTGGGAAATTGTGGACCCTTAAGATATATTGTGGGTGGTCTCCAATTGGATACTGTCCACAATTCCCTACCCTTACCCTACTACTTTTTAATCTGGTTTTTCCAGATTTCATTTTTTTACAGCACACAGTACAGTGTATGACTGAACAATTTTAAATGCTTAAGGGAAAATGTAACTCTAGATATTTCTACTTACTCTGGTTGCGAAAGAACACTGGAAAGCGATTCCATGTCTCCAATTTTATCCAGTTGCCATGGTAACTCTAATGTTCTTCTACTAGAGTGAGGTAGTTCCCAGAAATACTTTGCAAGAATTTCGCTGTAGAACCGCTTTTGACGATGAAGAACAGACTGCATAAGAGCAGACGATGAACCAATCTGATTGTCTGATGCCCCGGTTCCAAATAAACCTGTGGCATATTGATTTAATAAGAATAATTAAATTTAATAAAGAATAATTAAATTTTAATAAAGAATAATTAAATTAAAATTATAAAATATTAAAGCAATAAATGTGACTAATGGTTTTTTTAAAAATTTAACTACAGTACTACCGGCCTTAAATTTAGCATTACATAATATAGCATATTGTAATTTCTTGCTCATAACAATAGAACAGAACATGAATATAATAAAAATGTGGTGAGTGGATTTCCTGTACAATTAAAAATTGTAACGGGACTGGGTTTGGTCTACAGGAGTTCGTGCTTCGAACAGATCATACCATTCATAGAAGAAGCCTTTTGATGGAGAAAGTGTACCTAGGTCGAAACTAACTTCGGCTATATAAAAAATTGATTAGAAGATTGAAAATGTTACTACTATGTCCATTTTTAATGATCTAATCTACGTGTATTTAATACTTTCATAGTTTATATTTAAATATTTAAAATTGTTTATAAATTTATTTAAAATACTATATGTAATAATGTAATCATTAAAAAAGTATAATACATACTCCAAGTATTGAAATGCACGCCATCATGTTGGGATTCAATATTTCGACATTAATTATGTCATCAGGAACCGTTTATGTTTATGATAACAATTGATATTTAAATAAAGTATAAGATTGAAACAATTTTAAATACAGACACAAAGTATACATAGACCTATTTCTAGAGTTTAGCTAAAATATGTAAATCTGTATTAAAACGTTGCTGTACAATGGACTTTTCTGCTAAGCCCGCCCTTTGGATATTGTTGCTAAGTGACACACGCATTCATGGCTATGTTCTGATTGGTCAGTAGTTAAGTTTGATTGACACCACTACAGAAAGGTCAACTGTAAAGTACCGCAGCATCATTATCGGAGATATCACTACGGCTATGTTCTCACACAGCTGCTAACGGTTAGCAAGATCCGGATCCTGCTAACCGTTAGCTGCCGTGCGTTCATACGAGAAAATCCTGATCCAGATACCAAAAATATGATGATCGAATCACTGGCCAATAAGAAACTGGAAATTTTAAACGCGTACGTGTGATTGGTTGATAATAAAAACACGCTCAACTTGCTAACCGATAGCGCTTGCTAACCGTTAGCAGTATCCGGATACTGCTATCCGATAGGGCGTTCTCACGCAGGTGCTAACGGTTAGCGCTAATGGTTAGCTCCTGATCCGGATACCAGGGCTCTCGTGAGAACCAGGCTAATAGGTTGGTTCATCTATCTTTTCACTGAAAGAGTCTGAGGCATAATATCTTGTATCTTGGGAAGGCCCATTGTTTCTCTCCATTATTCAATGTATGTGACCCTAATTTTAGTGAGTAGGAGGGAAGATATTAGGCCAAGGATTATGGAATTATTGAGCATATGAAGAGTGGTGTATACATTAGAGCTATTTGCACATGCCTTATGAAAGAATGCATTTTATGTTGTGATTGGTGGATTACCATTTACGGTAGCCATGGGTGTCTGCAACGCAGCATGAATCCACCTACCTAACAAACAATGTTGTACTGCTTCTCGAAGGTGGTTATGGAAAAATGTGATCAGACCTCCTGGTTTTTCACACAAAGAACTTTGTGTAGCAAGTCTAAATCTGGCGAAATCAAAGCGAGTGACCTCAGTTTGGCCCGAATAGCCCAACAGTCGCAGACAGCCAAGTAGCTCCGATTCCGATAGCCCATGGCGTGATGTGGCAATAAGGCAAAGTAAATCGACAACCCAGCCTGAGAAGTTTGACCCTTTAGAAAAAAAAAAATTAAATTGTAATTTATACTGACCAGTAGATTTAACAAGATTGTTAAAAAAAATAACAATTTTGATGTAAATTATTAAAACTTTTGATTTTTCATTATTATGTAAAACCTACACAAGGCATGCCATCCTAAAAACAACAATCATATTCTCTATATAATACGCTTTAAAATTATGGGTAATTTACTGAAATTGATTAACTTTTGCCAAAGTAGAAGTATTACTGCTTCTAAGTACAAGTATATGTGGCAAAGACAAGCCAAACCAGTCACTTGTCGCAAATCTTGTTTCAGAGAAAATGGCCAAAACATGCTAGAATGTCAAATTTTTAAAAATCTCTTTTATTGAACTAAACTAACCTTTATATATCTACACATCATTCTATGCTGTTATTTGTCCCATTTTCAATGTTGAAACAACACTTTTTAAGGATTTAAAGATAGTTTCTGCATGAGAAATGCCTGAAATCATAAACTTTGACGGCTGATTTCTCATATATTGTTCTTTAAACAGCTGTGTGGTTAAACGCTTGTAACTTCATAAGGAAATGTCAGATTTGAATGATTTTTTTACCATTTTATAGCTATTATTTTACTCTCTAACACTGTATTAATAACTCAAAATCGAATTTTGCGACGAGTGACTGGTTTGCCTTGTCTTTGACACATATACTATACACAGTTTAACATATTGCAACATGTACTCACTGGTTAGGGATGGTCTATAAACTCATATGTTATTACGTATCAAATTTGTGAAAACACTTTGAATGCATAACATATTAGGGATGTAGTTAATGGTGGGTGGGGGCCACCCAGTCTAAAGCTAATTTCATGGCCCTCCACCCACCCTTATTAACCCACTTCCATCCTTAAAATCCACTCTTATTATATGTTAGAGTTTACCAATGTTATCACCCACCCACCCTTAAAATGTCTATAACCCTGCATATTGAGGCTCAATGCTCAATGGCCATTCCAAGGCAGAACAACGCAACTGCACAACAATATTATAGCAGTAATACGTTGTTTTTCTATGTTTTTCTGTCAAGTGAATAAGGTATACATGCTGATTTAAAAAGCACAAGAAAAAATATAACAAAATATAAGTGAACACTTACCTGTCATGGAGCCGGCCGAATGGGAAGACTTGAACCCATCCCTTTGCCACCCATAGGCTTTGCACCAGTGTTCAATGATACGCCGCCATAAATCACGAAACGATGTGCATGCACAGTACTGTGACAGCATCTCGTCTAGTTTGTGGAATGAGCCAAACACGCGCAGCTCATTGGCCAGGATTGTGAGAAACAGCGGCCGGTCACTCATCGGGCAATTCAGAACCTGTTCCATCTGATGTGCATCCAAACTTTTGAAGTACAGCGCCAGGTGCTTTTCCATGATGCTCGCTTTGTCTGTCGCGTCGCTGAACGCAGGCACTTGGTGAATAACGACATCTGGACGGCTAAGCAGGGACTTGTAGGTCAGGTCTGACTTAATTGTTGATATGATTACTTTGCAATGGTTTGGTAGTGGATTTGGAAGCCAATTCATCTCCTTCACCTAAAAAACAAATGAAAAAAACAGTATATAGAAAAGTTAAAATCAGTATAGACTGACTCATTTCAAGTGAGTAAATCTCCCTCACCAGATGCCATTGCTGGGGGGATATGTTATAGAGCACGGATTTGTAAAAGGCTCAGAGGGCCATTAACTTTGGCCTGTGTTAAAAAATGAAATTAAAAACAAATTATATAAAAAAGTAAATCATTCGATAAATAATTTTCAAACTATAAGTGACTACATAAATGCAACTTCTGCGCCATGTCCACAAAAACAACATTTAAGGAACGATCCTCCTATTGCATAGGGGATGAAAATTTGCACTTCAGGTCCGTACGCATGCTTGTATAATGCAGAGAGTCTTTGAATAGGTGCAACCTACTGAGATCTAAAAAATGTTTAACAACGATTACCAACAGACATCAAGGATTAGTATTGTAATTTCTAGCTATACCTTAAAATCAAGGTGGTTTTACTTTACAAAGTGGAAAAAATCCGGGGGAAAATTAGCAAGTGACAAGTGTTCCATTTTTTTGTAATTTAATTTTTTTTTTATTTCATTTTATCTGTTTGCTCCAAAGAACATTTTGTGTTTGTCAGTTTTAATGTTATTTGGACCAAATAAAGGAAATGAAATTAAAAAAAAAATGAAATTACTAAAAATTGCACTATATGGAACTTGTCACTTGCTAATTTTCCCCTCAGAAATTTTTCACTCAGGAATTTAGACTTGCCACAAGTCTCTTGTTTTTTTTAATATATTATTTTTCTCATTCTGGACAGCGCCACCAACGAGAAAGTTAATTTAGAGATGGACGGAATAAGCGACTTGTAAAACACTGAAGTCAGGCACCAGGATGCCAAAAGAATGACGTAATCTTATATTCCGTATTTGGATAAATGGGCGAACGCACAACATATTTGTTTTTAATTTTGCTTTTTTTTTGTTTGCTCTATATAAATTAATTATTGTCTTGCCGTTGTAAGGTTACACGACACAGGTGTGCCGATGGTACAAAAGCATTATCCAATAAATTAACTGACTGACTCTTGGTGCATTCAAAGTACTGATGAAGCCTAAAAGACACATTGTAGAAACGTTTTTTTTTAAAGCATCATCGAGTAAGCTCAGGATGTGGGTATTTGGCGGTTTTTACACATTTGGACGGAACAGGCCATTCATTTATGAACAAGGATGTTATTATGTTGGATACGGAAAGCAGATGGTTTGACAGAGGGATCAAGGAGGCCATTTACGTCAAAAGGGAGGAGCCATCACTCAATCAAGGAGGTGGACTTAATTTGGCGGGGGCGTATAATTCTGCTATAAAGAAAATCCAATTAAGGTTTCTCTCTAGTTCTACCTGTGACATTCCATCTGACATCACAGGTCAATGACCTTTAGCCACAGAACACCAGTTGGCCAGATGATGCATCCTGGATTGGACGCGAAATACTGTTACTGAATAAAAACTAATTCCAGTAGAAAATATTTATTTAATTATTGACTTTATTTTAAAAAGTTTGCATCTGTGTCCACATAAGAAATAGAGGAAAGAAAACAGGAAATTGCTTTTTAACATACAGGTGCTTGCTATTTTGGCCTGGATATCACACCTATTTCCTAGTTATTCTATATAAGAATATTAGGCTGCATCAGCCACTCCGGCAAGGAGCGGCTATATTATTTCTGGTAAGGAGCGCCAAAAGGAAGGACGCAATTATTTTATTATTTCCACATCTGCTCCTCTAAAGTACTCTTTTGCACTCTGAATGCCCTTTAGTGATTCTCTTCCACAATTATTATGACTACTTTTATTTAGTCTACTTTTAATCATTGCGTCTACTTATTACTTCATTAACACTTATATTGCAGTACCCTAATATTCTTGTGTACTGTAGCACAATAAAAAGTAGAATTTGAAATTACCAAAAGCATTATAACGAGTTGCTTCATGACTCAGATATTATTGTTGGCCTGTGAGCGAAACTCAAAAAATATTTGGCCCTTTAAACAAACTAATAAAGAACCAGGGGTATACCGGTTTCTTACACATCATCTGCTATAGTAAATATCGGAATTATTGTGCGTACAGTATGTTGTTTCAATTTGATATACTAAAAAACTTCACACCACCGTACATGGACATGACACGCACATGAGGGACCACAAGGAGGTCCTTAGCAATGGCTGCAACAATAGAGAGCACCTTTCCCTAACTGAGTTTATAATAATAATAAGTTTAGCTGCTCTCCTTTGGAGAACATCTGGCCATCGTAGGATTTCTAATCAGTTGATGTAATTGTCCTCGTACTATACCATAGACATAGCCTATGGAATTTGTCTATACACATAAAATAGAATAGGAATATGTGCCTTCTTATGTATGAATGCAAGAACTGAAAACGAATGACAACAAAACTAATAAAATAATAATGAAAAAAACATAATGTATTGGTATATTGGTACTGTATATTGGTAAATTTAGGAAAATATGCACATGTTTTAAGAAGGAAAAATATATCATTCTATCATTTAAACCTAGACTTGTGCGAGTCTAGTGACAAGGCAAAGGGCACCGCTAATTACAGCCTTTACACCGGCACTGGTATAAGCTTTTTCTTGTCTAGGGTTTGGTTGGTAGAGACAAGTCTTCCCAGATAAGGACTTAAAAATAAAGTCTAGTATACACATTTGGCTTGTGTGCACTTGCTGTAAAAGAACGCATTGTATCTTTCGGAAGAATAGGGGGTCACCCCAATGCTATGGCTCATTTCAGCCCCTCTAATTGTGGGATGATATGAATCTACTAAGCGCCTCTTCTACAGCTGCCAAAGCACTCACGGACCACGACCATATGCCATTCAGCACAATGCAGTGCGAGTATGGGTTATTCTCCTACCTTTACCTATAGAGATAGAGAGGTTATTCAAACTTAAGTACCTGCTGTGCACTGGCTGAGTAGCTACCTCCAAGCTCATCTATACCATCTATTACCATGACACAGGGACCCATCAGGAGAGCCGCTGAAAAAGCTTCACAAATGCTATGAAAATCCATATTATTACTGCCAAGTAAATCCTCACTTTCATCATCTTTAAAAAATAAGAGAATGTACAGTATATCAAATTTTTCACATGTCCCTTGATGCTAAGGTTAAAAAGCATCTTTGTCAACTATTAAATGGAACAATTTAGTATGAAATGTAAAATGTATTCATTAAAAAAATGCACAATAAACCAGTTTGTATCAAACCAAAAATCTACCACCACCTTAACAATTCTTTGTCAATTTTTTTGTGTTTAAATTATATATTTCCCTCCCTTTTCCTTAAGAAAAAAAACCAGTTGAATAATGACATAAAACAAGCACAATAAGAAATAATAATAAAATATAAATTTCAAAGTTTCTTACTAGAATAGTTTTCCCTGAGTTCAAAAGTTACACGTCGCATGAAGCTTGTAATATCCGAACTCAATGCACTGCTTCCAACATAGTGGGACAACACCTTCATACCAGGGTTATGTGCCTGGAAATGCTTCACCCAATTGGCTAGGAAGGCAGTTTTACCGCATCCTCTATCTCCAACCAACATCATCAATGACACAGGTTCAGTATCTCTGAAAAAAAAAATAACACAGGTGGTTTTGTATATTTTAAGTTATTTACGCTACAACCTGCTGTGGCACTACCACTGCAGCTGCTACTGCTACCCCTATTGCCAGAAAGCACATAACTTGTCAATTATAAGATACAAAGTTGCTTTACAAACTTAAGTCTTTTTATGAGCTCAGCAAATGAAGTAGTTTTTAGTCATGAAATAAATTCCTGGTGTGACATAATTTAAAGATATACTGTCTGCCATGAGCGAAAAAAATTTAAAATACATTAAATTGCTTCATTTGTATATTTATGTGAGTTATTGAATTAAAATTAAAAATAACATTTTCCCCTTCAACAGACAATCTAATAGCACCTTCCTGTTACTGTATGATTTTGCATAGAACCTAAATTGGCTGATAATAAATTTTTGGGATTTTTGTGGTGAAATGTTAAACTAAATCAGTAAAAACTACTGTACTTTATTCAATATTTTTCTGATTGGATGTTTAATAACTTATTACAAGATACAAGTCAACATTTTTGACAGAATAATAAATTCTGATATATTTGTTGTACATAAAAAATCATTCATAAATATACATGTGAAAAATATTAAATCAAAATTTCTTAGTAAATACAAATTTGAATCCTGTGTAATCATTTTCTGAAATTTTGATTTTAAATAAATTACAAGCGATGTACAATGCTGAATATCTGAAACAGCTTGTGGATATTTTATGTTGTTTAAGTTTACCCCTCCCTTATCTATTAACTATAATGTGTGAGCATAATGGATGGGATGCAACATAATTAAATTAAATTTCGTAAGTATGAAATTATTAAAAACATCTTCCAAGGATTTCACATCGGCTCAAATTACTCTGCCAGCCTTGTTTACAATTCTCATTAATTGAGAAAACTAAATAATATTCAATAAGAAAGGATTGACTGGACAGCTGAGGAATAAAACATATGAATAAGATGAGGGGTATCATTAAACCGTTTCATTCTATACAAAATACAGAGTTCTTTAGTATTACTTTCCCAGTTATTAGTTCATTATCAATTATCTATCCCAGATATATGATCCATTTAAATAGCTATTCAAAATTGTATTAATTTCTTACTTCGCTACAGATATAATTGTTACCGTATTAGAAATGAAAAATGTGGACATTTTAACCACCAAGCCAAATGCCCACATTTACATTCTAATACGGTTACAATAATATCTAGTGATATGTTGGAGTAGCCAGCATTATGAACAATCAAATAATGAAGAAAATTTATAAAGGTTTATTTTAAAGAGAGAGAGAAACATTGTCAGGACACCCACCTTGATTTGACTGAGACTACTGTACGTGGTGAATCAGTTAAATCGTTATGGTGATCTTCCAGGGCATCCACAGCGTGACTGCCCAGCTTGTCGAACAATTCGAGAATCATTGGATTTGTAACATAGACGCGTGTTCTTGTCTGTGCTAATGCTTCATGGGCACACCACTCCTCAAACAGCTCCCCTCCTGATAAAAACGATGTAAAGATGTAATTGGCTTTCACAGTAAGTAGTTGTCATGTGAGTCCCCATGGCGAATGCAAAGGGAGGGGTGGAAGGCAGGGGTGGCGTAGCTGGCCTGGGCCCCCATAAATTTTTCAAAAAAAAAAAGAGAAGGAATACAAAAAGAAATTTATATAGGAAAATCATTCCATAATATTTTTATTCTCATCAGGCAATTGAAAAATTGATTTTTTTTTTGCTTTTCAAAAGTGGCAATTTTGATTATCTGAACAGTTCAAGTAAGCAGAGTAAACTTAAAAAATAATGAACAGATTAAAAATTCTTTTAGCTTGTCTTGTAAACTGTGAATGACTGGCTACAATAGCTCTTACCAGTGGCGTATCTAGGGAGATGTGTGGGGGCGCATGCTTCCCCCAAACAACCCTTTTCTTCCCCAAGTTGTCGCCAAAAATCATGGTAAAGTTGTTAAAAATCACAATCAAATTGTTAAACATTTTATTTCGCGAGCAAGCACCCCTCACCTAATCATTGAGCCCCCCACCCCATTTCACCTTCGTGCCCCCATCAGCTCACCCCCAAGACACTCCTAGATATGCCACTGGCTCTTACCATATTCATTGAGAAGTGCAGTGATTGGTGGATAGCACTCATCTATTATCTGCTTCCAATCGTTCAGGATCAACTCGCCTAACTGCTCCGGTGTACGGAAAAACTGGACATCTAAGCCCTTATTGGTTATACGCTTTTTCAGGTCACTAACCTTCAGCTCTGCATATTCACTCTCACTCTTGAATGACTTAAAAAATAGATAAAACAAAAAATGTAACTTTTTATTATTATTGTTTACAGAATAGGTCTAAACTTAATTATGGAATGATATTCATTTAGCAATACAGGTATAGCTACAATATTGAATACAATTTTGGAATATACACAGTAGGCCTACTTGTATTTATTAAACCTGCTATCTGAAATAAATTAATTGTAATCCAGAAAAACACAGTTATGAGGGAAATGCATTACTTAAATTTTAAAAGAAAATCAGTTTTGTATCTACAGTAGGTCTAGGAGTCTTGAATGGAAAGCTTGATAATGAAGAAAGGGTCAGTTTATTGCAAAACAAGGTATAATGAGGTGATTGTTAACTACAGGCCTACTCCATCCAAAAGACCCCTCCAATTAAAAACCATCTCCAATTAAAGACCACTTTTCTGTGGTCCCAAATTAACAAATGTCTTTTATCTTTATTATTCTAATTAGAGACCAAAGCTGCTAAACACCATGGAAACTCCAGTCTCCAAAGTGGTCTTTAATTAGAGGGAGACCTGTACTTATTTTTTTTGTTTAGAACATTTTCAGTGGTGGGGAGGGGGGTAATTTTTTTAGAGGACACCCTTCCCCCCTATGTACCCCCTAGATAGGCAGTACCTTTAACTGTTCTTCTTTCCAATCATCTGAAAGGTCCGGAAATAAGTCTTCCAGTCTTACCATCTCACGAAAATAGAAGCGAACATGAGGACTATCATTCAAGAAAGAGGCTTGGATAATCTCAAGTTCTGTGATACTACTGTTCTGGAAGGAGTCTTGCAGAATCCATGAAAAGCCGTTCTCTGCCGCAATCATATAGTTCTTGTCAAGCCAGCTGGCATCCTTCCCAAGTTCTTTGTAAGTCTTTGGTAACGGGGGCTCTTCGGGGGATCTATGAGATCCGTACCTCTCTCCTAGCAGACAGATGAAAAATGGTGCACACTGGTTTATGTAGTCCAAACAAAGCTTGATAACGTTACCCGTGTTTGCTTGTTCTTTGGTAATGCCCCATCGCAAGTCAATTGGGGCAAAGTAAGTCCCATGTTCTCGGCACTGTGCATTAAGTTGGGGGAATACATTCCTAACCAGGTAGTCTCTCTCGATCTGAAAGTCTGTGAATGTAGAACTAATAAAAGGTCTGATAGGTTGGCGTAAAAGAAATTCACGCTTCAAAGAACTCAAACTGGGTTTACTTTCAAAGTCATCCATGATTCCATTCTAGGATTTTCTGGGGAAAAAAATAGTCAAATTACAAACATTCTATCATCTTAAGAGGTGGGTATATGTTGAGAAAATATCTAGGCCTAACTGTAGTCTATAGTACTAGGCCTAGCTTAGCCTAGTAGTAGTAGTAGGCCTAGTTTCAAAAATAGCGAATTATTGACACTTAAAGGAAGAGAGCTAGGCCTAGGCCTAGTTAGGCCTAGGCCTAGTAGGCACAATGATGGAAATTAGAATTGAATTTAAGTTAGAAACTGATCCGTTTACAGTATGAAAAAAGGTCACCTTCCTACACACCTAGGCACCTTCTGCCTCTAGGCCTAGGCTAGACTAGGTCTAGGTATGCTATGTAGGACGTTACTGGGAGCCCCACTGGTGGCAGGTAGGTAAAAGGCCGGCGGTGGTAGGAGTAAGGCCTAGCCTAGTAGTAGTAGTAGTATTAGCTTAGCTTAAAGTTAGGTCCTGGCCTAGCCTAGCTAGGCTAAGGTCTAGAATAGGGTGGGGGGGGGGAAGAATAAAATACGTAAGTATTATTATTATACTACTATAAGGCATAATGTTACTTAAATTTTAGGGGGAAAAATGATGTTAAAACTGGGCATATTTCTACTTACCGGAGCTACATAAACCTTCTTTCCATTTGGATGTCAGAAATCTCAACAAAAGTTTTTTGAAGAATGAAGGGAGCCCTCACAGGTTATCTCGAAAGACAATAGATAGCTCAACTACTGTATCTGTATCCTAGCAACTTATTAATTTACTGATTAAACTAGATTATAGTAAACACATTGCATGGTGTTCTCCTCTTTGCACCACTTTGGCCTCCTTTTGAATTTTCAATACTTGTGTCGACGTATTTTCTGAGAGACTTAGGCCTACCTTAAGATTCTAGGTCTTGCAACGATATAGGCCTACTTCATGTCCACAATTATAATGAGAGGAGAATTTAATGATTACCATTATAATACAGAAGAGAATTTAATGATTAACATTTACTTTCACTTTACCACCTCTCTTCTTTAATATATGATATAATATAATTGATACATTTTTCCAGGCCTATCTGTATGCCTATTTTACTTCAGAACTACTTTTTATTTGGAATGGAAAGGGCTATGTCATTAATAAGAAACTGAAACAGGGAATTTGTAAGCTTGTCTTGAACGTAACAAAAATAAAGTTTTCTTTTTTTATTTATTTTTTATTTTTTTGAAATAATAATCGTCGCACTTTGTAATAAAGCCTGTCGCACTTTGTAATAAAGTCTATCGCACTTTGTAATAAAGTCTGTCACACTTTGTAATAACTGAGCTGTCGCAGTTTATAATAGCTGTCTGTCGCACTTTGTAATAAAATGAGCTGTCGCACTTTGTAATAAACTCTGTCGCACTTTGTAATGAAACTCGATCCATGTTATCATCTATATATTTTTGATAAATTCTCATTTTTCTCGGGGATCGAATTTAATTTTTTTTAAACCCTCTTTCGTATTGTATCATCTTTACATCGATGGAATGCTCCAAACCCAATAGACCCCGTCCAGGATCTAGTGGGATTGGAGGGTGTCGGGTCCAAATCCAGAGAAGGGGTCCAATTATATATTTTTTCTCGTTTGTCGGATTATATAATTTTATGTCCGACGATGGGGATATGGCTCTAATTCTACTAGGGCCCTAGTCGGTCAGATCATCAATATGGCGTGTCGGTTCAAATCCTGAAGAGGTTCAATTTTTATTATATCATCGTTACGCCGATATATGGGATATGGCTCCAGTCCAACTTGACCCATCCATTGGAGATTCCGAACCGTATGACGGAGGTCACGGGTTCAAATCCCAAAGAGGTCCAATTTGATCTTCCTCTTATTTCGTATTATATCATTGTTGCGTTGATAGGGTATAGCTCCAGTTGTACTCCGTCGGTCAGAGCGTTCACATAGTATGTCGGAGGAATCGGTTAGAACTTCCGAACAGTATGAAGGAGGCTCCGGGTTCAAGTCCCAAAGAGGTCCACCTTCATTTGGGCCATTTTTACAGGGCCATTTTTAGGCTACAACTAGCAGAATGATAATTATAATACGAAATAAGAAGAAAATATAAATTGAAATATTTGGGATTTGAACCCGGGACCTCCGCTATACTGTTCGGAAGTTCTAACCGATGGGGTCCAGTGGGATTCGAAAGATATCCCCATCGACGTAACAATTACATAATATGAAATAAGTCAAACAAATCAAATTGGACCCCCTCAAAATTTAAACACGAGACCTACATGCCATATTGATGATCTGACCGACTGGGGGGCCTAGTAGAATTAAAGCCATATCCCCATCGTGGGACATAAAATTATATAATCCGAGAAATATCAACTTGAACCCCTTCTGGATTTGGACTTGACACCCTCCAATCCCACTAGATCCAGGGGTCTATATCGTAGTTGTAAAGACGATTTATCGTCTTCCCATAAATATGAGGTCATGTGCTTAGATTTGTGAATTATTTTTTATCGTATACACGATAAATCGTTAGCGAACTGTGCTTGTGTGAAAACTCCTCTTATTTCTTTTTATTTTCTATATGAAAAATTGCTTTTTAGCTTGTTATCGTTAATCGTTATCGTCGTAGTGTAACCAGGCGTTTAAGGTGTCTTTCTCGTAAACAGAATATCGTGGGTTCAATCCCCACTCGGGTTTTTGTTGAGTATTCTTTTTTGTATATACAAAAAAATGTAGATGAATATCTTTTACTTCATCCTTTAGTGAAAACATCTTTGAGGCACTTTATGAATGATTTAGTTCTGAATGAATAAATGACAGGGTTCATACAAGAATTAGAGTACAGCAAAATTGTCATGTTATTATACATCGTCATGAATTCCCCAGGTCTAAAGCTACGATTTATTAAAGTAAATATTGAGCCAAACACCAACAGCAACATATAAGGAATAAAACACAATAAGTAAAAACCAAAAATAATTGTCGTTGTCTTCGTTGCTGCATTATCGTTTCTTAACTGCTTTCTTTTTTCATTGCGCATAACTTCATTATCAATGGATACAATTTTCGTCTGACTTTTTCTTGCCGCCGAACAGATCTGAACATTCATTCGAAAGAGGCATACGATGGCAATTGTCTGTATTGACGCTTCCACAAGCATGTATATATTGACCATGTTCGTTAGCTGAAAAACTGATATCACTACGCCGTATATGAATCCGAACAACCATCCCAGGCATATAACAGTATTAATCTGCTCACCTGCAGTCAATGTTATAAAGCGAAAAGGATGCACAATTGCCGTGTATCTTTCGGCGGTTAGAATTAATACATGAAACTGTGAAATATACATAAGCCACCACAAAATGTGCTGGAAAAGTAATGTTATAATAAGATTTAGCTGGAGTATATTGTTTAATATCCAAATGCAACCAATGAAGCCGGTAGCCAGATCAACCATGTTTAAGCTTAGTTGAATACGCCTTGTCATTTGACGATACTCTTTCTTTCTGATGGAAACGAATAATAATAATAATAATAATGATAATGATAATGATAATGATAATGATAATGATAATGATAATGATAATGATAATGATAATAATAATAATAATAATAATAATAATAATAATAATAATAATAATAATAATGGTTAATGTTTAATGGTTATTAATTTATAGAGCGCAAAATACAAAAAGTCTCTAAGCGCTATCAGGCAAGTGTGGAACGGAAACCAAAACCACAAAAATAAAAAAGAAGTGAAATTTGAATACCATGCCAGCACCCAAACCGAAGTATGGGGATACGCCCTCATCGCTGGCTAGGGTTCAATCTAATTGAACTACAGTCAGCACCTGTTATGATAATAATGTTAATAATAATGAAACAAATTATGAAACTGTTATGATAATAATGATAATAATAATGAAACAAATTGAAAAAATTGAGATTATAATTTTTCTTAATAATAATAATAATAATAATAATAATAATAATAATAATAATAATAATAATACAGTAATAATAATAATAATAATAACAATAATAATAATAAAGGTAATGATTATGATAATGAATGATGATGATGTGTTTAATTATCCTATCTAATGGTGGTCTGATAAAGATGATGATAGTTATGATAATAATTATATACCCGCCCATTCTCGTGTTTTTTTAATCTCATCCATGTTGCAATACCGTACTCCAGCTTGCATAGTTGACGGGCTGTTGGCGCTATGTTTCAGCCCTCGATGCAAGTATTTCATGGCATAAAAATAGGCCTAGTTATACGGCACTGGGTGATTTAAATATAATATATAAGACTATTTGTATAACATACAATTGTTTATTATAACCATTGTAATTGACTATATCGATTTTGTAACATAACTAAAAAAAATGTTGATTGCTTGTAATCTACATGAGCATCCTCGTTTGTTCATTCAAATTGCGTAGTAGCATCAATCAAGAGAAATCCTGATAAAAAGGAACAAATAATATTTAACGTTTTATTGATGGTCAAATTGAAATTGACAGTGGTATACTACAACAATGTTTGCTTAGTGCCTAATTAACGGAAATCGTTCATTTAGCACATGCCACTCAATTTGGCATTATCAAGAGATGATGACGTCAACATTTTTCATCTCCCTTGCATTTCATTTTTCTTGAAACTGTACAGTAATTATTTAATGTCAATCAAACCATGATCAAACTCACCGTACAATAAAATCTGATATTTGACAAAATCTATATTATAGCCTTAGGCTAAATTCTGATAACTTTGATAAAACAAACATATTAAAAAATTTACTTCCATTTTAAAGATGAACCTATTAGTCATAAATTCAAATAAAATCTTGAATAGCTCATTTGAAAGGAGCAAATGAATTATTAGCTTCCAACAATAAACAGATCGAAAAAATAATAATTTAAGGATCTATGCAAAATAATACAGGAACGTTATTATTTAATTGACCAGAAATGGGAGAATTTTAAAACATTGAAATGTTTAATTTTAAATTAATAACTTATTTAAATATTCAAATTGTTGCATACTACTCTTACTGCATCGGTAACTCATGCAAAAATTACAAACAATAGAAGAAAGTGCCATCACAAAATGTGGAAAGTTTTGAAAATAGGATTAAAAATGCATCACTCGGTAACTCATAACTCACACTGCGTAATATATAGGCCTACATCATTCAATGCACCATAAGTATCATACTAAAAAGATACATGAAAAAATGTATTAATGGTTGTTATTGGCACCGTCTCTGATCCACAGGTGCTATAGCTTGCAGACTAGTCTACTGGTAGTATAGCCTGATACTTGTTGCTGTTTTGTGGCATAAAGCTACTGTACATTTTAACTCATGCAGCATCGGTAACTCATGCTAAAGTAACTGGTAACTTATGCTACGGTTTTTAACGGGCCATATGGTGGATGGTGTTTCATCCAATTCATATTACGTATACTTTAGGAACAACTGATGGTAGAAGAATAATAAGTGCCATCACAAAAAGTGGAAAGGTTTTGAAAACATATCAAAAAATACATCTCTCTGTAACTCATGCTACACATCACATTCAGTGCCCCATAATTCTCGAAGGGAGATATTCATATAGGCCGATGGTTGTTATTTCTGAAAGACCACATTCCATATAAAACCAAAGGAGCCACTGATTATTTGCAAATAGAATATGAGTATGGTGACTCCGAAAAATGACACACGGGAGGCCAAAATTGATTCTACGTTTCCGTTTTTTATTAGAACATTTTCAAGAATGAATGAAGTCCAAGGTGGTGACAAACTTAAAAAACAGAACTCAAAACAAAAGATAAATTCTGACCAATCAGAAAAAGGTAGGATCTAAAAATATAGGAAACAACATGATCTAGTTGTTAATAACCAAAATGATTACTGTATAACAAAGGCCTATTCCATATTCCATATGTAAAATTGTGTCCAAATTAAATGGAATCATTCCTGAAAAACAGCCATTGGTAAAATCATTCATGAATATGACTTTCATTCAAATTGTAAGCCTACTACTAAAGAATAAAATCGATTGGTTTTTTTTTTTTTAAAGAAGGCGATATTATAATATCCAAAATAAGTTTATAACCTGATCCTTAAAAAAGCAGTTGTAGAACTTATCAATTGCCCTCCGGAACCTGGCTTTTTAACTCATGTTCTTAAGCTTATGGATAGTATTGTTCTGTGTAAATAATCATAATATTTTTTCATTCATATGTCAAAATATCAACCAATCATGAGGCAATTATTTACAAATTAGTCACCAATTACCGAAGTTTTTACAATCTTCTTCAAAAGCCGTCGACCTCAGTAAAAACGGACGAAAAACAATGTACATCACGTATTCACCGTGGTTCTTATTCCTAGTGTGTGTATGAGTGAATCGATAACATTTCTCATAAAACTCCCGTTTCGATAGGAGTAGATGACTGGATTCATCCCTGCGTTAGCATAGAGAAGCATCAAAAGATAATGGATCAATGTTGAATTGAGTAATGCAGTGCCGTGATTAATATACAAAAGTATACAACTAGGTATAATGTAAATAATATACGGACAATAGCAAACCAAGTAGGCGCCATATACTACCATTGTTGTCTTGGTCGCACGGTATTCTTTTTTTCTTTTCTTCACTTTTTCATGACGAAGCTGATTTTCAATTGAAGATATTTTAGAAACTTGTCGTTTTGCTTCGATGTATACTTTTATATGAGAAAACGACAAACAGATGAAAGTCAACAATTGGATAATTATATCAGTAGAGAAAAAATATGCCTTATTATTTACAAAGTAAGCAAGGGGGGTTGCGCATAAACAAATCATTGTACCGCATATCCAGGCAAGAATAATGGCAAAGTTAACACGTTTGTTAGACGCCAATTGTAAATAACGGAGAGGATATACAATAGCTATGTATCTCTCGCAAGCCAAAAGCAAAATATGCCATTGAGATAAACTGTTACATAACCACATACTTTGATAAATTATTGAAGTAGCAATTGTTGTAGCTTCAGTCTCTGGGGCTTTATCTATAACGATCCAACTAAGTCCAAAAATACCAGTGGCAAAATCAACGACGCTTAAGCTTAGAAGTATTCGTCTGTTCATATGTTCATGCATATTGTTTTTAATAGAAACAAATACAACCAGAGCATTCCCAGTTATAATTATAACCGATATTACCGTCCACAAAAATAGATACAGGGTGCTGACGTCAAAAACAATAAAGTCGAAGTATTGGATTTGATTTGTTGAATTCAAATCCATTACCAATTTAACAACAATGTTTGATTAAGATTAAAACAAACCAATATATCAAAATGCTTTACCGAAACCGTAAAATTCAGAAACAAATTTATAAGTGCCTCGCTTGATGGACGTGAAGCCGAATGTGTCACTGTGGCTGGAGTAGCTTAACGGTGCGCATGTCCGTTAGGTAATGGAGCATTGGGAATGAGTGTCATTCCATTTATATACCGGTAGTTTTCAAAAACATTACAGAACAGGAGAAAATACATCTGTGTTTATGAAGTCCGGTACTTTCCTTTCTTTGACCAGATCTAATAATGTTATGACATGCTTATTTAAGAGTAACTGTCATAAAAAAAAAAGTGAGAGGTTGGTTTTAATATAAATGTCACCCGGTTGTCATTATTGTAGATTTTAGTAATTTCCTATATGTCAAATAAACTCACTATACAATACTTTTCAATAACATTTTGGATATTGGTTTGTCATTATCAAACTACCGTACTTCTATTAAATTTAATATAAATTTGACAAAATGTCTCATTAGACGATAACAACCATATTAAGCAATCACGCTACCATTAAGTTATTTGACAAGTCATCAACCGTAAATCATATCAATAAAATATCGCATAAACATTGTATAAACTAAGTACTTTAATAACATAATTTTTTTTCAGTCTTTTCGACCTATTGTGAATTTCATTCTTTCTTCCGAATTTCACGCCATATTGCAAGAGCCGTCGTTGCGGGTTGCTTCAGCATATCTTCTGTTTATTTTATCTTTAATACAAAATTAAGATTTTTAGATTTTGTTTTCAATGAAAGTTTTATAATCAAATCAAAGCATTAAATATTATGATAATTTTTGCTGTATATCGATCACGTAACCATAATATTTACAATCACATACAGAGTTGCAATGGATATATTGTATCTATAAAATCAAAATTATTAAAAGTAGTATGTATTTTCGACATTTTATTAAACAAAGATTTATTTTTAGATTCGGTAATGCATGTCGACAATAATTTAAGCGGTTAGTAATTTATTTATTTATTTTTATATTTCTATTGATGACATGTTTTTTTAGTGATGATGATTAGACAAAATGAAACAAAAACTGAGTCGACATCAAAACTTAAATCAAATTAAACAATGAGCAAAATAGATAAATTTAAGCTAAACTAATATAACCTTCGTGCAATAATTTCTGTCTAGGATATGGTTTACAACTATAACAATCGCTATTGACGTTAAAAGTTCTTCGATTTTTACACTATAAAAGTTACTTATGTAACAAACAAACAAAAAATAAACAAACATTGTGAATAAATAAATAGATAAATAAATAAATAAATAAATAAATAAATAAATAAATAAATAAATAAATAAATAAATAAATAAATAAATAAATAAATAAATAAATAAATAAATAAATAAATAAATAAATAAATAAATAAATAAATAAATAAATAAGTAAGTAAGTAAGTAAGTAAGTAAGTAAGTAAGTAAGTAAGTAAGTAAGTAAGTAAGTAAGTAAGTAAGTATGTAAGTAAATAAATAAATAAATAAATAAATAAATAATCTATTCAAACTGCATAAGAAAAAGAAACGAAATCAACAAAGCTTCATTATTTACAATTACTGTAAAACCTTTGGATGGGCCTCTTTTCGGGATGGGCTTTTCTTAATACCACATTTGCAAAGTAAAGGGGGCGTGGGGGCTTCTTTTCAAAAGGAATGCTGTAAATTTTGGAAATTTGTAATATAAAACAATAAATAGGGCTGCTGTAACATCAAACATCTGTGTATTAACCGGCATTAAATCACCTAAACTAATGTATAAACCATAAACCAAACATGCTTTAAAGTTATTTTGTTTTTTAGGAATTCATGTACAATGTATGTTCTGTACTATCTCCAAAAGAAGCCTATGCTATCTTGAAAAGAAGCACATGGGATTTTTTTCGAGATGGGGTTTTTTCCAAGGCTAATTTTGCCAGGTTAATTCGAGATGGGCTTCCTCTCAAGATTGATCAATTCAAGGTTCAATGGTATTATTTTCCCACAGACGTCATATTGAAGGCGTCAATGCGGGTTGTGTCCACAGATGGATTCTCAGATAGATGAAGGAGAGTATTAGGTCAAGATCTAAGACTGATACTCCTGTTATTTATTTTTTATACAACGTTTTAGATCTAGGTTTCAATTAAAGTAGTCTATATAATCAATCAAATCAAACCGCAAATTTTGATTTTTTTGCTGTATATCGTTGGTTCATCACGTAACCACAATATTTACAATGACATACAGAGTTTCAATGGATATTCTGTATCTATAACATCAAGCTTACCAATAGCAGTGCTTTTTATTGAGATATCTATTCATCATTACTTTTAAAGAGATTTATTTTTAGTTGTCACCAAGATTTAGTAATGTATTTTGACAATAATTTTAGCAGTTAGTAATTTATTTATTAATTTTTATATATCTATTGGTAATTTGATGACATTTTTAGTGTTGCTGATTAGATAAAATTAAAAAAAATGAATCGACAATAAAGCTTAAGTCAAATTAAACAGTGAATCCAAATAGATAAATTTAAACTAAACTAATCTAAACTTCGTGCAATAATTTCTGTCTAGTATATGGTTTACAACTATAGCAATTGCTATTGACGTTAAAATTTCTTCGATATTTACACGATATAAAAGTTACTTATACGTATGACAGTAACTTTTAATGTCATTACATATCAATTCTTCCAACTATAACAATTGCCTTAATTAATATTGACGATATAAAATAGATATTCCTGTTTAATGAATGTATAAACAAATAAATATATATAATCTCTTCAAGCCTCAGAAGAAAAAAGAAACAAGCTTTATTATTTTTAAATATATATTATTTTCAAAATGTATGTATTCACTGCTGCCCCTCTTCATCGATTTCGTACTAGAGAATTGACAGCGTTCCTCATAAACAATCTGTTTTGATAAGAGTAGATGAGATTCATTCCTGCGTTAGCATATATAAGAATTGTGAGATAAGCGACACAACGTTGTGTTAAGGTGCACTGTCCCGTCTGAGTATTTAATACATAATAAAATTAAAGTAAGAACAAAGTAAATATAAAACGGGAAATAACTAAAGAGATAGCCACCATATACGAGAATTGTTGTCCTGGACGCACGGCGCTCGTCTTTTCTTCTTCCTCTCATGTTGAACTAGCTAATTTTCAATAAAAGATATTTTAGAAACTTGTCGTTTTGCCTCGATGTACACTTTTATATGCGAAAACGACACACAGATGAATGGCAACAAATGACCAATTATGTCTATTAAAAAATATTAATAATTTTTAGAAGCCAAAATAAGAAGAGGTAAACTTATGCATATATTGTGCATTGTACCACATACCCACGCGAGTGCAATAGCTAGGTTAACACGTTTAATAGACGACAATTGCAAATAACGTAGAGGGTATACCACGGCTATGTATCTCTCGCCCGCCAAAACCAAGAGATGTTATTCAGAAATGTAGGTACAGCACCACATAACATATAGCAATGTAGAACTAATAATGTCTGTAGCTGTACTGTCTCGAGGATTACATACTATTATAGCTAAACTAAGTCCAAAACACCAGTTGTCAAATCAACGATACTTAAACTTAAAAATATTCTTCTGTTCATGTTCAGGTACAACTTGTTCTTTATAGACACGAAAATGACTGGAACATTTCCAGCTATAATTATAACGGATAATAAAATCCTCAAAATTAGATCTGGTGTAAGGTTGGCTTTGCTGATTACGTCGACATGTTGGACTTCCACTGTTGTATTTAAATCCATTATAAATCTGATAGATAGGAAACAATTTCAGAGCTAGTAAAAATAATGTAGGCCTCAGAAATGCGGAGAAGTTCACTTGTACATAATTATAGCTAGCCTATTATGAAGGAGAATGTCACCGGTTGTAGTTTTTTTCTTATCATAGTGCATGCGCGTTAATTGAAAATAGGCCTATTATTGATAATAGGCCTATTATTATTGATATTTCCAAGTTAAAAATACAAAAAAATCCGAACCGATCGGCTTCAGCTCACCGTGCTAAAAATGTAAAGCAAGAAATTTGTCAAAATTTAGTATAAATTAGGGACTTTGTTTCTTAGAAAGGTGGAAAGGTATATCTGTATCACAGACTGCTTTAAAACGTATTCGTTTTTGTTCAAGTTCAAAAATATACTTAATTAAGATCTAAACTACTCAAATAACGTATGCAAGGCTCTCTACCATTATTGCACATGCGCATCATAATTTGCAAAGAACTTCAGCCAGTGATGCATCAAAGGCTTGACAGTAATGTGCCAATGAATTTGTCTCTGTATTTATGTGACGCAATACATCTTCTATCTTTTAGTAATTTGGTAGTTGTTTTTAATCAATCTGTGTCTTATATTTGTAATGATTATGGATTTAAATACAACAGTGCAAATCGACGTTGTTGATCGCAATATCAACCTCACCTACTATATAATTTTGAGATTTTTATTATCCGTTTTAATCATAGCTGGGAATGCCCTTGTTATCTTCGTTTCCATAAAGAACAAGATGTATCTGAACATGAACAGACGGATACTCCTCAGTTTAAGTATCGTTGATTTGGCAACTGGTGTTTTTGGAATCAGCTGGAGCGCGATGCTCATTAATCAAGACATTTCTTCATACATTATTAGCACGATTCTTTATTATAGTGTATGGTGGTGTATGTACATTTCCGAATGGCATCTTCTAATTTTGGCGGGGGAGAGATTCGTAGCCGTGGTATACCCTCTCCGTTATTTACAATTGGCCTCTACCAAACGCGTTAACATTGCTATTACACTTGCGTGGATATGTGGTACAATAGTAATTTTGTGGGGTATGCTTCTTAGTTATTTGGTATCTGAGACTAAGATTGCATATGTGTTAGCTGTTGATGCACTTTGGCATTTGTTGACATTCACCTGTGTGTCTTTTTCCAATATAAAAGTATATATTGAGGCAAAACGACAGGTTACTAAAATATTTTCTATTGAACGTCAGATAGTTCGTAGTGAAAAAACGAGAAAAAGGAAAACCGAGCACCGTGCGTCTAAGACAACAATTCTCATATACGGTG